CTCCCAGCCCTGATTTTTTTTTTTTTTGTAATATCTGTATAGTCTTCTACATAGGACTTTATTTCTTTTCAAAGTTTGCAATTTGAGAGTCATTACTTCAAACTAAGTATATCTTAAACCCAACATTATTCCTTCCTTGTATTGGTTGTGCCTTCCAGTTGCCGCATTTCTGACCCTGATACCATTATTCTCACATTTCAAATCTTCGACTCTTCCCTCTGCTTGAATTGTCCTAGAGTTATGTCATCATACCTTTTGAAATGTCTGTTAAGTTTTTCATTTTCTCCATTTTTGTTTGGCACCCCTCTAGTTTGGGTTGCCATTATCTCCTGCTTGAATTATTGCCACTGTCTGCTGCTTCCCCCCACTACCATCCACCCTTCATGTTTGTGCCAAACTAATTTTCTTTTTCTTTTCTCTTTTTTGGTTTTGCTATAGGGAGCATGTGCTTGCCAGAGAGAGGAGAGAGAGGGAAAGTGAGAAATCACCTTGAGGGAGAATGACCACACAGCAGTCTCTTCTCCTCTAGTTTCCTCTTGGGATTGTGGGCATGCACACTCAATGCACCTGCATGATTTTCAAGTTGCCTGGTCCAGGGCGTAAACCATGCAGCTGGCCATGTGAGATCTAGCACCTTAACCTCCACACCACCTCCTGGCCCCTAATTTTCTTAAAATACAGTTCAATTATGTCACTTTCCTGCTGCAAATCTATAAGGGATTATTTGGGTCTGAGTTCCTGTGCCTTTTCCTCCAACTTCAGAGTTTGAAGTGGTTGTTTAAAGCTCACCACTTCACTTGTGCTTTCCATGGATCCTCTCAGGATCCTGCTCCACCAGGCAGTCCCTGTCTCTCAAATATTAACTTTTTTCTGTCTTTCTATTAGCTCAGCTTATAAACATATTTACTCTGATTGTTTAAAAACAAAAGGCAAAAGCTTTTCTCTTCCCATATTCCCTTTAGCTACTGTCTAATCTTCTCTTCTTTCTCCAAATTCCTTAAGAGTAGCCGCATTCACCCTATCTATTTCCTCTCTTCTGTTGCCTCCCCACCCCCAGTGTTCTGGATTCTGTTATCACAACCACAGAGGAGTTGACCTCACTATACTGCTAAATCTGGACATCTTTAATTCTTTATCTTTCTGGTCATCTCTGCTGCATTTGAATCTTTCTTTCATGGAGGCTTCTACTTCAGAGCTCACAAACACATAGGCTTTCAGAAGCAAGGCAGGTTACAAAAGATGGTGCAACACGAATAATGATGGGCCCTTATTTGAACTGGAAGGTATATATCTTGCCTAAAGGTATTAAAAATCTGATTTAAAAAAAAATTGCCAGTGAAACAAACCTCAAAACTCCTTGCCCACTTCAGTCCCCTGGTTCTTCTTGTACTTTCCTGCTTATTCTGTAACCATCTTATTTGTGGACCTCTCTTTACCCCTTTAAGTACAAGTGTGATCTCCAGGTTTTCTTACTCAGCCCACTGTTCTTATTCCTTACTCTCTTAAATGGTTTCTGCTTAACCTCTTGTTATTTCAGTCTCCCAAGTGTGTGTCTCTGTATCAGAATTTACTCAGGCTAAAATTTGGGCTTCTTTATGTGATAGTCCTCTATCATCGTGGTTTTTTATTTTTATTTTTTTGAGAGGTTTTTGCTATAGGGCACATGCACTCGCCAGAAAGACAGACAGAGAGACAGAAAGCGAGAAATCACCCCCCCAGGGGGGATGGCCACGCCACAGTCCCTTCTCCTCCATTCTCCTCTCGGGATCTTGAGCATGCACGTACACGCACCCAGCATGAGTTTTAAGCCACCGGGTCCAGGACTCGAACCGTGGTCGACTACATGGGAGTCCAGCAACATAGCCATTTCACTAACTGCTGGTTCTAGTCCTCTGTCATCTTAAATTTAACATATTCATCCCCCAAACACCATCTTCACACCCCCTACCCCAAACTTTAAAAAAAAAAAAAACTCCCTCATACTTCTGTATTCACAATCTTAGTTAAATGTACCTCCATCTATCCTGTTATGCATTCTTGTTTCTCCAGCCAATTCATATTCCTCACAGCTGAACAATCAACACATGTTAACAATAGTTGACATAAAATTTCTTTTTTCCCCCACAGCTGAACAATCAACAAATGTTAACAATAGTTGACATAAAATTTCTTTTTTCCCCTCCTTACTACTACTTCCCTGACTCTGGCCCCTTTTAGCACTCTAACTGGTCATCTTTCCTTGATCCTTGTCATTCTCACATCCACCCTTTAACCTAAATTTAGACACCAAAGTGTAGATCTAACCAAACTACTTTCCTGCTT